GGGGGGGGTTATTTTGGTCCTCGAGATCTGCGTCTTTGGTGTCCGTGGCCTCCGTGTCTCCGTGCGCAAACGTGTTTGACAGTGACCTGAGAGCAGTTCTCGCACTTTACTGTGCAGCACCAGTAGAACTTGCAATTGCAGCTACTCACTATCTCTGTGCGCCTCTCCTCCACCCGCAGACCGCACTCATGGCACAGCCTGCGGCAGCTTCTCCTTTCCCACTGCGTGAGACTTTCCCCATGTTGCACGCACTCCCGACCCTCCGTGCCGGGAAGCCCGAGGCTCAGGTTCTTGGCGCAATAATCCGGCGAATCCTCCAGATATATGAGCTCAGACCGGGCGATGGAGCCGAAAGTGTCTGCCATGGCCACGCGGTTGTCTGCGCTGTTGGCCGCGCGCATTCGTCTCTTGTCCATTTCGAGTTTCTGGGCCTGGTCGTGCTTCACTTTAAGGTAATTGCCAATCTCACGGAAATCAGAAAGCTGCATCCAGCACGTTTGCATTGTGCAACTGTCTGACATGCCATGGCACCTACAGATCCTCTTCATGGTAGCCTTTACAGCCTAGAACACGAAGTAGGCTATTGTTAATTTACATATCTTATGTGTATGTAAGCCTATTCTTTTTAGGTACATATAAACATGTCAAAAATAGTTTCAAAATTAACCACAAAAATTAGTTGGCGAAACAAATACAGTTCAGAACAGCACAGTATAGTAGAGAATTCGCCTTTTTTGTGAAGAGGTAACATAACTGCTTAGTTGCGTAATATAGTTTGCCATATCACTTGCGCAATATAAATAGCCTATATACATATATATATATATATACATACAATTAAATAAATACAATTAAATAAACATAACAATAAATAAAAAATGGCGCCCCCTAGCGGATCTGTATTATAGGCTATTTTCGTTTAATTTTTAATACTGGATTTTAGATTCATTTAATACTGTTTATGTCAGATGTTTTTCTTCGTCAAAAAAAAAAGTATTAAAACTGATATGAAAAATATTCCTCAACTCAATTTACCAAACGTCCAGCTTCATTATTATGAAGATTAACTGCAGCTCGAGAGTCTTGTCCAGTCTCAAGCGCATCCACATATTGTTTAGAAATTCTCTCGCCAAAATCCACATTGTCGCTACATCCTCCCCAAAGCCAACCACGACCCCCTGAAATGAACAGTTTTACCCATTAGATAAACGTGTCGTGACTGTGTTAAACAGCAAATACTTAACTTTTATTGCATTGTTAATACATAAAAAAGGTTGTAGTATTTTCTGTTTAAAATTAGTTTATTAGCATGTGAATATATAGGCCTAGTAATGTTCTTACCGAGTTTGCCGTTTCTCGAACTGTCACATCCGCAGTCGTCCAGATCTCCAAGACTGCAGTTTCTGGTTAAAGTGTACATAACGCCAGCTGCGCTTATTGCGTGGACAAATGACGTCTCCCTCGTTGCTAGAGAAGTTGAGAGAATTAATATGTAGTTTTTATTTTTGTTTTACATTTTTAGAGATAAACAGCTCACATTTATGAGCATATCTTACCACTTCTGAATCCTTTGTGAGTAGAAAGTTGCAGCGCGCTGTCTGGGCAGTTCCACCTGTCCCAAGCAAACTGATGTTTGCACTCACGTATTCCGCTTTGCGCACCTACCTGCACACTACTTGCATAGGTAAGATAAGCCTATAGGAAGAAGATAAGAGAAAGATATTGAGGATTTTGATGTGATACAAAAAAAACCCCAATATTATCTGGTTTTGTGGTGTTTTTATTTTTATTTTATTTTTTGTATCACATCAAAATCCTCAATATCTTTTCCGCTTTTTTTCAAAGCTAAGAAAATAGATTACCTTTGGTCCAGTCATCAGCAAATTGTTCATTTTCCTATGGAAGCAAAAGGCAAAATAAAATACGCGTTATGTTAACAAGAGCAATTATGTTTACATTACAACAGCTGGTAATAATTCGCTAATGCAGCCTCACCATGTGTGCCCAGGGAGAGCCTTGTCGCAAATAAAGAATAAAAAAAAACAAAGGAAGAAATAAGCCATTATCTTAGATCCACAGCGATAAAGCAGACAATGTACTGTTTCGAGAAAGTGATGTGCCTTCATGTATTTTATACTCCTCCCAACAGGGTCAGAATAGCTACCTTTTGTTACAGAGTTCTATTGGTCTACAGTCACCAGCCAGGTCAAGGAAACGCCTCCAATGCACTTCAAAGGATATCAATACACTACAGTTTATTCTCTCTCCGCGGGCAGGGTCCCAAAGTCGTTGGAGCTGATGCATAATTCAAGTGTGATTGGGAGTGATTTTGCACCGTTTATTCACCAATAAACATTTGAACCAGATGTCAAACATGCGCAATGAAATTGACCACTCGGAGACTGTAATTTAGTTTTAAATATTTAATGTGCTTCCCACGACAAAATAAGTCCATTTAATACATATAAACACAATGTGATAGTTAAAAAATAATTGCCTTAAATAAGTTCCATAAAAACACAACACTTCAAGCCCCTTGTGAAACATTACACACTGTCAAGTGATCTGTGCGAGAAAAAAACATGGTGCAAATATTCAAAACAACTTTTGAACATAATTGTAAGTAACCAAATCTGTGATCTAATGTCGATAACGAAAAAGTGCAAACAATGAACTTAGGTCTATGTGAAATTAGAACTTAGTAAGTGACCAATTCAGTTGACAGTGGGAACGAGAAAGCGTGTCTAATATAAGGGTTCGAATTGACATTTCTCCTTATAGCAATGTGCAGAATAATAAACAGTAAAAGAAAAAGCTGCATATCTTAAAATCTCATATAAAATATATTTACATTGGAAATATACAAGTTAATATATTTGCAAAGATTAGTTTATCTATTACGCGCATGCTGTCTTCTTCGTGAATTGTTGTGCGTCCGACGGTTTTTGTGCCTTTTTGTGCAAAAATACTTGGTCACAGTCTGAGTGCATGTTTCGCATTTGACTGTGCAACACCAGTGAAATTTACAGTTACAGCTGCTCACAGTCTCCATCCTCCTCTCTTCAACTTTCAGACCACATTCGTGGCAGAGCCGCCTGCAGCTTCTCTTCTCCCACTGAGAAAGATTCTTTCCGCTTTGTAGGCATTCCCTGCCTTCTGTTCCATGTTGTCCCAGGCTGAGGTTTTTCACGCAGTAGTCTGGAGCATCTTCCATATAAATGAGTTCTGTGCGCGCAACGGTGCTGAACGTGTCCGCGATTGCGCCGCGATTGTCCGCGCTGTTACCAGCCCTCATCCGAATTTTGTCCATCTCCAGCTTCTGTGCTTGATCGTGTTTGATTTTCAGATAGTTACCGATATCTCTGAAGTCAGCCAGCTGCAGCCAACATGTCTGAATACTGCAGCTTCCAGATACACCATGACACTTACAGGTCCTTTTGAGAGTTGCTTTGACAGCCTGAAATATATAAAGTTTCACATTAGCCATACGCACCCACATGCCGCAATAAAAAGTGTTTCGTTTGACTGGAGAAAGTAGATAAATAAGAGAATACAATTATACTCACAAGTCGACCAGCTTCGTTGTTGTGCAGGTTGACTGCAGCGCGAGAGTCGTGACCATTTTCCAGCGCGTCCACAAATTTTTTAGCGATTCTTTCTCCAAAGTCAACATTGTCACTGCAGCCTCCCCAAACCCAACCACGACCACCTTTGAAAGAAGAAAACAGTCTAATGTTGTTGGTCTGAAAGCATTAAATAATTTTAATTACAGATAAAAGCGTAGTTCATATTAATAAATAATAAAAATGTCTTACCCATTTTTCCTATCTTGGAGTCGTCACAGCCACAGTTATCGAAGTCCCCCATGCTACAGTTCTTTGTCAAAGTGTACATAACTCCAGCAGCACTTATGGCATGCACAAAAGCGGTCTCTCTGGTGGCTAATAAAAGTAATAATAAAGACATTATTAGAACATGTTCAATTCAATGCATTTTCAAAGTAAAACGTTAAAGCTGGAACAGTTAGTGTTTGCAAGTTCTTGGTGTTGCAATATAAGTTTTTGTGCAAAAAGTAAAAAAAATAAAAATAAAAAAAACTTGGAATTCAAAAGAATGTTCTCACACACAAGGCTTTTTTTTCCATTTTTTTTTAAAGTGAAAAATGGAAGCAGAATGCATAATCTGATTTTAATAGTGCTTACCACTTCGCAGACCGTTATGTGTAGATAACTGCAGTGCGCTTTCCGGACAGTTCCACCTGTCCCATGCGAACTGATGTTTACACTCTTCAATACCACTCTGAGCCCCAGCCTGCACACTGCTGGTGTATGTAAGGTAAGCCTGATGAACGTAAAAGACGAACATTAATTAGACACTGTACGATCAGACGTTTTTATACAAGTATCAAAGTAACATATTTTTAAAAAATTATCTCCGACATAGATAGGAAAACTTAAATTACCTTTGGTCCTGTCATCAGGAAGTTATTCACCGACCTTAAAAAAAAAGAGAGAGAAAAAAGCATGCGTTAACAAGTTTTGTAAATAAATACCAGTGACAAAACAACTGAAATATAATAAGATATTTCGAATATTCTATAAAAATGTCTGTACCATGCTGTTGTCGACAGTATGTGACAGCACATAGACATCACCAACGATGCCAAAAGCTGGCAAGGGTTCATTGCTGCGTGAGCGACCCCTGATTCTTCAATGCACCCTTCTTGTGGAGATGCAAGGCACAGACACTGAGATGGATACCCAGGAAGAGACAGAAGACAAGTGACTCAGTGCTCGAACGAGCAAGGCATTTATACCTGTCGCCAACTTTGAGTGACAGGCATCTCCGAACCTTTGACAATTCGCTGTGAAAAGACGTCGAGGAGGTCACTGGAATTGTGCGACCTTAACCGCACCTCAAAGCTTTAACACTTTTCACTAAGCCCTTCATTCTAGCTTTCATTAAGCGATCGTTTCAGTATGTTTATAGATAAACTATTTTTTTTACCCGACTAGTTCAAGTTAGTTAGTTGCTGTCCGTTCAAAATCCCTTTGCCACTTTAATGTGTTACCATTTGTGTATTTGAAAGACAATTTAGACGAATTGGACTGTCCAAAGTCATCAGATTGTTCGTCTAATATCCATTCACTCGTGGAAGGTGTTGTGTAGTGTATTCATGAATATGCTGAATGTTGATTCAGTATTGGACATGCACCACTGGACATGCATTTTTGCATCAGAATAGCCCTTTTATCTGCCATTTTAAAAGAAGGGTTTATTCGTTTAGAAATAATACTATACACAATAAAGTACACAAATAGGCTTTACACAATATAACCTGTATAGTCATACATGATTTGACATTTTAAATTCCTTTTGGTTTATTTAAGCTTCTTGACTTTATAGATGTCCTTTATTTGAGTCTTGGCTTTTCACGTTTTGGGAAAGTGTTTTACCGGGAAATGACACTGAAACGTAAGGGGTTGCTCTATATTGTATACAGAAAGCCATAAAATCATTCGGCTCCGTTCGCTAAGGGCCATGCAAATAACATGTAACACTTCTACGGCTCTAACACTCTGGTGTTAATAGAAGACCAGCTGATACCCTGGGAACAGCTCTGGTGTGAGAAATGTCTGGAAATGTAGTTAGATGTATTATAGAGTGCAACACATCATAGGTAGCCTACTAGTCTGCAAAAAAAATTATATGATATAGCCTACGGTTTATTCGATCATTTGACCCATAGGACTCGAGTGAGAATGGATACATTTTAAGTTGCCCATGTCTTTGGTTTATCAAAAAAGGTAGGTTACTCCTTCAGTGCTTAAAAAGTAAAAAAAAAAAAAAGAGAAAGAGAGAGACATATCATAGTTTTTAATAATAGGGCAACTTTTTCATAACTTAGTGATTAGGCAGGCCTACTGTTGACAATTCAATCATGTGTCATGTAAGACTAATTCAAAACACATAAGCCAATTCACACTAAGTTATTATTTGTCACTAGTGGATCGACAACAGCTGAACAATGTAAACAAAAGGATAATCAAGAGAACGATTATATTTCATCATTTTCCTTTCGATGACTTTTGCGATTAAATAATACGCTATACGGAGATGTGATTTTTTTATAAATTGTTGCTCGTGGAAGATTAATTGTTGAAACCACGTATTGACATCTTCGAATCAAATCGTTAGCCACTCAAAATCCCTTTTCAAAACAGCATTTATTTGATGGTCGGATAATGGTTTAACCAATGCTGCTGGCTGGAAGACAATGGAGGGACGCGCAAGTGAGGATAATCCCCACTAATTGGACATCGGCATCATCAAGTCTACAAGGTGCCTGAAACCCAAATTCCCACACCTACTTGTTACAAAACAAACCCGTATTAAACAATGATCTGGTACAAGGGGACCTAACCTAAACGGGACCGTCGTGCCATAAACGCTCTGTCGCAGATATCTCAGAATGGGTTTATGGAACTAGGGCAATGGCACATCGTTTACTTTACTTCATGTGACTAACAAGAAAGAATAATCACAAAGTAACCATTAAAAATAGCTAGATTATCACCACAGCGTTTTTAAAAACAAAATCTAGAAGGTCAATCACAGCGTTTACTCCCCATATCAACCTGATATCATGGCTCACCTTGCTGCACAGATGATCCATTTTGAGGAGTCACCCACAGAAGCTCAGGTGCAGTTCATTAGCCTATGCTGTGTTAAGGCTTTTCGCCTTGTTTTGTGATTAATGAAATATAAAACACACATGACAAGTTCTTTGAGACGTGTTTTGTTTTTGTGAGAAATGTGTAAAATCATAAATTGTATTCTTTGACCTGAATAAACTGGTCAAAGATTTGGGCCTTATATAAAAAAATGACCTTAAAATAAAAATGCTCTGCATAATTGTCGTCACATAACAATATGACTTTCACTGTAATATGCGTTTAAAATACAAATGCTTTGCTGATTTAAAGATTTTGTGAAAAAAACATTTATTCCAACGCTCCCTTTTTCATTAATTTCAGACAAATCTGAAATGCAACAAAAAAATCTCCTCTATTAATAATTCCGCAGATTCGGGAACGTCATAGGCTAGGCTACCCTCTTCTGACCTTTCTATGCACTATATTCTGCGAAAAGGACCAGATTATTGGGTGTTTACACGAGCAACATAGGCTATTTAAATCAATTAAAGACATTTTACTTTTTATTTGTTTTTAAGTCTTTAGCAGCTTACTTTATTGGTTTTAGTTATGTCAGATTTCGAGAGAGATAAGTTGGTCATAAAAGACGATAAGTGTCGGAGAAGCACTGTGGTGTTCTGAGTGCGGTAGATGTGTGGCAGGAACAGTGACGCCAGAGCGCAGCCGCGCTTCTCAATAACATCTCAGCCATAATTGAGTTCAAAGGAGATCTAGGCGCGTCGTCTAGCACCTCATCAGCAGGTGTTAATTGTAAAAACAAGAATAGCCCTGTAAAATACATGTAGTATCGGATAATCAACGATGTTTGAGCCGCGGGTAGCTATATGACCTGACGTGAAGACGAACTTTTCTCAGCGCTATTTTAACTCATTGGTTGGATGAAGGTATCTCATGCCGCTGAGCATATCATTTTAACGCAATGAGCAATAATACCCTAAGTGGCTTCAGGTGTGACATAATCAGACTATTATTAATAGTGACGCCCCTGCTGGCCACACCACAAAACAAACCCGTTTATTTTAAATTTTTATAATAGCCTAGGCTACACACGTTTGGTTGTTTACTTTTATTAGCACCATTCTGTAAGTTTATGCCAGGTTGAAAACTAAAATATTTTCGAAGTAAACACTTAATTAATCCTGTATTTCTTGTACTACTACTAAAAATCTTATGCTTTCTAACACATATCTTTGCCTTCTACATCAACTTCAACAAGTTAGATGCCATAGCCTATATATTTATTTCAAGTCAGGTCTGACAGGTTTTTATTGCGATATATTTTAATTCAAGAGTATTTTTCTCAAACCTGTTCACATTGTGACAACTTACCCCACCATTGGTGCCTGAGAGAGTGAGGTTCCTGAATTACAGTACCATTAAAGGTTTGGATTCAGTAGGATTTTTGACAAAAGAAAGAATTCTTTTATTCATCAAGGATTTATTAATTTGATCAAAAGTGACAGTAAAGACTTGTTACAAAATTATTTTCCAATAAATACAGTTCTTTTTAACTTTCTATTCATCAAAGTATATTGTAAAAAAAAAAAAGTATAAAAGTTTCCACAAAAACATTAAGTAGCACAAATGTTTCAACACTGATAATACGAAGAAATGTTACTTCAGCACCAGATCACTACATTAGAATGATTTCTGATGGATCATGTAACACTGAAGAATAGAGTAATGGTTGCTTTGCCATCACAAAAATAAATGACACTTTAAAATATATTAAATAATTATTATTTTAAATTGTAATAATATTTTTACTGTATTTTTGATCAAATAAATTCAGCCTCGGTGAGCAACAAAGGCTTTGACTTTGTTTTGAATAATCATGTACTTACACCCAAAGAAAAGTCTTTTTTAGAAGAGGAGTCATATTTGGTATTTTATTTGTTTTACATTTCATTTGTCTTTATTTCATGAAGAAACCCTTAAAAAAATGCACTAAACAGAATTTGGTAAAATATCTATTTTAACCCTGTCTCAAGTCTTCCCCCTTCATCACACTCCCATTCATAGGCCCCAGTGACTCCAATCGCAATGGTAACCATGCTTCACATGGGGCAATAGCACCCTTTAAACAGAAATAGGAATTGTAATATCTGCCATGTCAGAAGAACATGTCTTGTGCTTGTCTTCTCCTTGTCTCTTAGGTCAAGGGGTGGCATCGCCTTTCCTCTCCTGCTCGATAGCTGAAAACAGAAAGAGATGAAATATAAATGCTTTAGAATAGTAAATGCCTTTATTGTGCCAGTAAAGCTTCTTGAGAGAGAGATGTGTTTGATGGATGAGGGAGCGTGGCAATATTGCAAATAAGATGCTTATTCACATGGGAAATTCTGCAAGCAGGCTTAGGTCTGCACTGCAATGCTGATGGAGGACTTTGAGCTGACACCCATCTGCTGACATAAGAAGCTGAAAAAAAGACTGAGCAGAGTGAGAGTGGAAGGAAAACAGAGAAAGGGATATAAGATGGAAGAGAAAGAAATGGCTGAAACAAAACAATAAATAAAGAGAGAAGGCAGACAGATCACTGCAGAGAAGAGAAAGGCAGATGGGGGAAAAAAAAGAGAGACCTACACCACACCCAAACTGACTGGACACACCGAATGCTGGAATGTAACAGACACTCACTCTCTTTGGTGGGCAGAGGGTTCTTCTCTTTTGTCTCAGTCTTCTTCAGCTTGGTTTTGTCAAACCTGGCGATTTCTGTGAGGTCTGGCTTGTCAGACATGATTGCTGTCAGTAGAGATGACAGATGTGACTTACAGAGCACTGACCTTGCTTTTGTCTTTTGTAGCGTTTCATAAAGGAATCTTGCATGCTGTTTCTTCACCTATTATTTTAGCCATTTCACAGCAAGGTCTTAAAATGTTTTTTTTATTATTATTATTAAAACAGCTAGATATTACGATTATTTTAAATGTTAAACCACCAAAATGCTACATTTCAAGAGTGCTCTGCTTTTGAGAAAAGTCAGTCGGATGCTAAGGGAAGAAATGCTTCCGTTCTCTCTGTACATGTGTGTGTGATGGTAGCATGTAGCACACGTGTGTTCGAGCATGCATGTATCATGTTCCAATGCTAACCGCCCACCTAGCCAACTCTCAATGCATCTTAACATCTATCTTCCCCCTTTACTTTCACCAGATGCCCTTTCTTCCTTTATGATGTCTTTGTTCTTTGTTCCATTTTAGCATGCAGGCAGCCTTTTTCCTCACATGCTAGACTGCAGTGTCTGCCTCACAGGAGAAATAGCCATCCATTTTTTCTATATCCCTTTATCTCTCTTCACTGCCGCAACTATAGCCAATGTGGATTTGCCATCTCCAGTCGTCGCATTATTCATGCTAAAACCCACAAGCCACATGCAGAGAAAGGAGGTCAGTTATAGTTATGATGGATAAAAGACTTACCGTAGAGCACAAAGTGGCTGTATCCACTGGCTGGTAGAAAGAGAGGAGGACGGCGTGTCTGCTGAGATTACCCAGACTGTGTCTGCTGGTGTCTGTGTATCTGCTAGGGCGTGGAATTATGAGGAGAGAGAGGGAGGGAGGGAGGATGCTGGAGAGCTTTAGTCAGTCTATCCCTTCCATCCCGTCCAGTTAATATTCAAGCTCCGTAGAGAACAGATATTCGATGCCGATACGTGATTGAATGATGAATTAATAAAGATGGAAAGTGACAAATAGAGTGGACACAAGGGCATGTGATTTCGGGATCACAGGGTTGGCTGGAAGCAGGGTCCTGTCACACCGTGTGGCAGCTGTCGGGTTGGGGGCTGGGATGTCATACTGCCTGAGACCCTGAGTCATGTCTCATTTTAAAATGTGCCCCTCGCTTGGCCAAGGGGAAGCACCATTTAACTGTTCTATAATTACACATATATCATTTTAAATGTTTAAATAGCTGTAGGTTAAATCATTGAAATGAATAATAAAATTGGAAATCAGGTTATATGATGCAATATTATAAGTTATATGCACGTCTTTGAGGCTGAAATGAAAGGTGATCTGATATCATTTTCTCATTAATTTGCTAGATGTGATTATTTAGTCAGTTGCCTAGTTAGTTATAGGATCTCACATTAGTGACATCATTTCACTTTTCAGTCAGACTAGTCAGCAGGCTTGTTTTTTAGATGGATGTTACGTAATGCTGTGTGTGTGTGTGTGTAAATAAGATTTTTTTTAAATCAGTAAGGACATTAAATTGATCCAAGACATTTATAATTTTACAAAATATTCCATTTCTGACAAATGTTGTTCTTTTGAATTTTCTATTCAAATATATTAAAATAAAAGATATTATTTTTGGTCAAATAAATGTAGCCCACGTGAGCATAAGAAACTTCCTTTAAAAACTTTTCATACATACATTCATAGGCCTACATGCGGCTTTGAGATCATGAACAGGATGTTTAAAAAATGGAATAGCAAATAATTTTAAAATTCTTATAATAATATAATTTGAATCTGATTTTATTCCTTATTTTTTCATACTTTTAGTATATTTTGCTCATTTATTTTCTTTACGCTTCTCTGTCCCTGTTCTTTTTCCTTCATCCATTTGTCAATTTACTTACCTGTCCTCCTTACACAAATCTTCATATTTGTCAAATGAGAACAAGCTCAGCTTATGTTCATCTGTAATGAGAAACTGCTGATTTTCTGACAATGCTGAGAGTTTAACAGTTGAGCGTTACAGAAACATATACTTGTACATACAAAGTTGTATATACAAAAACATTCATATGCATTTGTATGTACAATTTTGTTTAAGATATATGTACTGTACACTACTGTAAAATTAGATTATATGTATTACTTGTAGCCTATGTGCATAATATCTTTTGAAGGTTTAAGGTAGATGCAGGTGTGACACTAGACCAGCTGATGGCGATGTTTCATTTTTTTTCAGTGTGACTGGTGCCTCTTTGGCAGCATAGTGCAATGCAGGAATATCATACATGACGTTATGAAAGCATAATTGATTTAATTACAAGTTAAAATATTAATT